TTTGGAGGAATTCTGGTACAAAAATGGTCCTCTCTGTTGAAACCTAGAAGAGATCACTGAAGGGAGGTGGGGGACAGAATTAGGGAGGGTTTGGGGGGCATTCTCTGATGTGTCTGTGAGGTGTGTCCTGTGGAGAATGCCGGGTGACCGTGTGTTGTTGGGAACCTTCAAGTCAGTCCCGACTTGTAGCAGCGCCGTGTGGTGGCGGAGTAGAGCCTCCCCTTAGCGTTTCCAGGCTGTAATCTTTATGGGAGATTACCAGGCCTTTTCTCCCGTGGAGCCACTGGGTGGGTTTGAACCAGCAACCTTACTTTTAACAGCCAAGTTCTTAACTGCACCACCAGATGATACCTGAGAGCCAAACCCACTACTGTTGGGTCAGTTACGAGTCACAGGGACTTCCCTTTAGGTTTCCGAGACGGTAAATCGTCATAGAGGGAGACTGCCCGTCTCTCTTCCATGAATCAGGTGGTGGGTTCAAACCACTGACCTTTTAGTTAGAAGCCTTTGTATATAACTACCAGAGCTGCCGTCACCAGCTGCTGTTGTGAGGTGAGGTATCGAGTTGAGTCTGGCTCCGAGTCCTCTGTCTTCTGTCATCATCTCTGACACGCCGAAGCCGCCCGTGGCAGTCACCGGGTCAGTCTGTCTTGCTGAAGGTCTGGCTCACCTCTCCAGGCGTGATGTCTCTCTCCAGCCCCTCCTGACACACGTCCAGAGTGTGAGGTACATTCTCTGGGATGGTCAGTACTCTTCTCCAGCACTTCAGTTGAGCGGCATCAGTTCTTCTGTCATCCTTATTCGCCATCCGGCTCTCAGATGCGTCGCAAGTGATTGAAAAGACCATCGCCAGAATCAGACACGCTTTAGTCTTCAAACTGACATCATTGCTCCTGAGTAATTTGGAGAGATTCCTAACCACTGACTTCTCCAGGGCAGATCTCCTGATCTCCTCAAAGCGTGTTGGTCTCAGATCCAAGGAAGACGAAATCGTTGACCATTAGATGGCACCAGATCGCATTTTCCCCTGTGATTAGTCATTGCAGTAACATCAGAAAAAGACCCATGTCATTAAGAAAAATGATTATGTGGGGCCAGTCAGGACAAGAAAGGAGCAGGGAGGCTCTTTTAATAGAAGCCGGGAGGGAGCGTGGCAGCCGTGGGTGTTGGAGCGCCGGGGGCCAGCAGAGGGCACTGCCGGCCAGCAGCCTGGGAGCCGGCCCCACCTTGGTCCTCCGGAGAGAAGGGCGTGAATTACAGAAGGGGACGCCCGGCTCCCACGGCTGCCCTGGCAAAAAAAGACACACCAGGGTGACCCAGATAGAATTTAAAAAAAAACAAAACACAAACACCAGCCAAAGGTTGCACATATTAGTGGAAATCGGAGCCCTTAGCCGCGGCTTGTAAGATAGCAGAGTGGCAGAGCCACAGTGGAAAATAGCACGTCGGTTCCTCAAAAGACTAAAAATAGTGCAACAGCACACCAGCTCCTCCTAAATCTAGCCACTGCCATCCAGCTCGTTCCAGCTCCAGGCCGCGCTGTGGGGCAGACAGAGCAGAGCTGCCCTGACGTTCCCAGGCTGTAATCGTCACAGGAACAGGCTGCTTCAGCTTCCTCCCACGCAGGGCTTTGAACAGCTAACCTTCAGGAGAGTGGCTGGATACCTTACTGTGCCACCAAGGCTCATTAGCACGATGGTATGGTTTGTCAACTCCATACCTAGGTGGTCCTTGTTCTTGCCAGTGGATCGGAACTGACTCATAGCGGACCTTTCCGATTCCGTTGGAGGACCTGGTCCGTCTTCCCCCCTCAAGGCAGCTGGTGGATTCAAATTGCTCACCTTTGAGTTGGCAGTGCAACTTCTTATCCACTCGGCTGCCAGAGCTCCCTGGGTATCCCAAAGACTTGAAGGCAAAGACTCAGAGACTTACACACACCAGTGTTCACTGCAGCACTACTCCTCATAGCCCAGAGACGGAAATAACCTGAGTCACATCAAGAGCTGATGGGTTTTGATTTGCGTCTCCCTTATTGCCAGGGATTTGGAGCATTTCTTCATGTGTCTGTTGGCCATTCGAATATCTTCCTCTGTGAAAATTCTTTCCATGTTTCTTGTCCATTTTATAATTGGGTTGTCGGTCTTTTTCTTGTGGAGGCCCAGGAGTATTCAGTAAACTTTTGTTAGAAGACTCTTGTCTGAGAGTCCACAATTAAGGTTGCATAGTGGAATGTACTTGGGGCGGTGGGAGGGGTGCGGGGGGATTGTGTACCAGGGAGGGAGTCTTTCTTTTACTTTTGAAAGAAAGGAGAGAACTGGGGGGCGGGGGGAGAGGGCTGGGCGGGGAGAGAAGTGCAGCAATGAATGAATGGAAATCCAAATTCTCTGTAAATGTTCATTAAAATTATTTTTTTAAAAAAAAAAGACTCTTGTCTGAGATGGAATTAGCAAGTGTTTATTCCCAGTCTGTAGGTTTTCTTTTCACCCTGTTGGGAAAAGTTTTTGATGTGCGTAGAGATTTCAAAAGGTCCCATGCAAAAATAAAAACGACAAAAATGTAGCTGATGAGTAAATAAAATGTGGAGCACACGACGGAGCCCTGCTCGGCCAGTAGGAGAAAGGGAATCTCCAGCCATGCTACAGTGTGGATGGAGCTGAGAGCCTTGTGCTGAGTGGAGAGAGTCGATCACAGAAGTACAAGTAGTCTGTGTCCTCTGAGACATAAGAAATGGCAAGTATATAAAGACCAAAAATTGTTAGTGGTTAGGAGGAGTGGGAGGGGAGGAAGGGTAATGGCAGTGGAAAAATTGCACTGATTCAAAGTAGCCTTGTACGGACAATTACTGTAATTGCTCTCATTAGGATGTCCACAGGTAATAAGTTGAAGTGGCAAAAATTATGTGATAAATTAATTTACAGCTTAAAAAAATGGTGGTTGTGACTTGTATACAACTCAGCACCTCATGAGATTTAGGTCTTTGGTGCGGTGGTTTAGGTCATGGTTTCATTGATCATCCCTGTTAAAATTGGCCTCATTAGTGCGTCTGTGCATCTGTTCTCTCAATGGTTTATGTAGTGCTTGGGATCTTAAAAATTTACAGATGGGGAGCTCTGGTGGCCTAGTGGCAAGAAGCTGCACTGCAATCACAAAGGCACACAGTTCGAATCCACCAGATGCTCTACTGGAGAGGGAGAGGCAATCTCCTCCTATACCAGTCAGATCTGATTTGATGGTACACACACACACACACAACCGCGGGGGGAGGGTTGGGAGGGGAGGAATGTGTGGCAATGAATGAGTTGGAAATCCAAGGTCTCTGTAGATTTTTACTGAAATTGATAAATTTAAAAAAACAAAACCAAACAACCCCACCTTATTTAAAAAAAAATTTGCAAACAGGCATCAAAGTCATAATTACGCTCAATTACACCCCAAGCAACAGAGGAAGGAGAGGCAGGAACAGGAGGAGGAAGCGGAGTATGTGGCACTACCTTGTTTGATGTGAGACCTGAATAATGCCTAGCTGCCGTTACTGAACATTTTAATCAAAGAGTCTAGTAGATAAATTCTGGCTGAAAGGGGGGGAGAAGTGTGGAACAAGAATTTAAAATTTTGACATTTTTCATGGCCTTATTCGATCTCTGGAGGTCAGATGAAGCTTCAAATAGATTGCCTAAAATAATTCATGAGTCAAAACGATCATCTTTAAATCATCAAGCAAAAATATCCCCTGAAGTCTTCTTCAAACCAAATGGTAGTGACTGACTGAGTCGAGAATGCCTGCCTTGACCATTGTGCTCTTTTTAGAGCTATCTGTATGGGATCAAATTGACGACAACTGGATTGATTAGGGAAAGCCTCTGGGGGCCGTGAACTGTGTTAACTGGAGAGAAGCGGAAAAGCAGGGTAAAATTAACTGCACACTTGAAGCTACTACTCAGCACCACTAAACCGTACGAACTCTTGTTGTGCTGTGTGTATGTATTCTCAATAATAGCAAAATAAATACCATTTAAAGGGGGGAAAAGACAGGTGCGCCCCACAAAAACCATATAGAAATAGATGTGACAGAAGTAAAAAGTGAAAAAGGCGTTAAATGTCATTGACGTGCTGTTTGATCAGAACCTGCTCACCGCCGAGCCTCCAGCAGGTTTTTCAGAGAGTAAAACACACGGGAGGAGACTGTTTCTTCCTCCCACGGAGCGGCTGGTGGATTTGAACCTCACACTTTTGGGTTGGCAGCACAGCTTGTTACCAAATTAAATACTGCGTGTTCATTCCTCTCACATGACACGGACGAGGGAGCTCTCTGGTGCAGGTGTCCTGTGTGCACGTGGGGCATTGTGGGTCAACAGTGGTAGTTCAGGTTTGGGCTAAACGGACCAGAGTCACTGCTATCCCAGGTCCCACCCATAGCACCTGTAGGACACGGTGGGATCTGCCCACCTCTCTTCTGCACAGATGCTGGTAGATTCGAATTGCCGATCTTTGAATACTGTGCCCTGAGAGGTCCTTCCTTTTAGGTCTGGTGACCCACATTGTTTTTGGTTGCCAGGCTGGGCAAGTGGGGACGGGGGACACAGTGAGTCTCAGCTTTGGGGGGACTTCTGGGAAGCGGTGGCAGTGATGAGCGTGGTGGTCTCCCGGAAACCCGCATGGATGTGCCCACTGGTCCCGTGTGTGTCAAGTGGGGCTGCTCCACAGAAGTGTCCCGGCTGTGACTACCTAGGACCGGATCAGATCCCCAGCCCTTTCTTCCCAGGCACTGCTGAGTGGATTCGAACCACCAACCTTTCAGCTGCTAGTCAAGTGCTTAACCGTTTGCATCACCCACAAACCGTGTGCATGTACAAACACGCTGACCTGGCCACAGCGTTGAACTGCACACCTGTGCTGTTTGCCTCGCCGTGTCAGTCCCGGAAGGCCGAGGCCCCGGACCCCCCGCTCCCAGCATTATGAGTACGAGGCTTCAGAGCTCACACGTCTGCCTCTCCCCTCAGACGCCGCCGCCGAGCAGAACTCACAGTCTTCGATGGAAAACTCGACGAACCCCTCAGAGAAAGTGGAAAGGCAGCCATCCGGGGATGTGAGCCTCTCCGCAGACACAGCAGCAATCTCTCAGGTATGTACCTGCGGCCGGGCCAGGAGCCTGTAGGGGTCGGGGGTGCTGCTGCGTTCCTGGGGTTCCTCTGTGAAGGAATCCATGCTGGGCGTGGGGCTGCGTTGTAGACAGGACACATTGCCTGGGGGGACTCTGCTCTCCGCTGTCACGTTTTATTGACTCGAGACCTTCAAGTCCTCGAGTGCCTGGCTCAGACATCCTGAGAGGCTTCCCTAGTGTTGGCAGGACAGACACACTGCCATCGGGTCAGTGACTGAGGGGACCGAGCAGGACTGCCCCACGGGGTGGCCGCGGCTCTCCGTCTTCACGGAAGCTGACCAGCTCATCTTTCCTGCAGAGCAGATGGTGGCTTTGAACTGGTGGACACAAACATAACACCTTAGTAGCAGCTGAGCATATCCTGCGCTGACACTGGCCACTAGCACATGGCTAAGGCATACAGCCACGCGTGTGTGTTCACACAGGGACACACACATGCCCGGAAGATGCACTGCAGTGCACACGCGCTTCAGAGGCTCACTTTCTACAAGCCAGCGTCTTCCCTCTGCTGCTGGCATTTTGTGACTGACCCCTGTCTCCCTGCTGGAGTCCTCTGCTGGCACCTGTTGTTTGGTCAGAGGAGCCAGGCAGCGTGGGAGTAGGGAGGCCCAGTGGTGAGGGGTGCACGCGCGCGCACACACACACACACATACACACACACACACACACACACACACACGGCTCGGGTCTGAGTTCCAATCACAGCTCCATCACCAAGTAGCAGGCCAGTTAGCCTTGCTGAGCCTCAGTATACCTACCTGTAAAATGGGCTGTGTCGTGGAGCCAGCCTGGGCATCTGATGAAAGGCGGACGAATGGGCAGTGTGTGACGATTTCCCATTGTGCTTGTTGTACAGGGTGGTGGGGACTCAGAGGCCTCAAGATGTCCCCTCCCTCAGGTGTTTCCGTCCCTCAGGTGGGAACCAGGCTGCACGTGAGGCAGGGGGAGGGAACAGGAGCCTGGCAGGTCCTGTCCCTTGTCACCTTGAAGTGGGCTACCCCAAGGAGGAAGTGCTTCAGAATTTAACACCACTCTAAGGAGACCCCTTGGTGTGTGGTTAAGCACTCAGCTTCTGACTGAAAGGTCAGCGGTTCAAATCTACCCTGTGCAAGAAAAAGACCCTGCAACGTGCTTGTGTAAAGATTGTTGTTAGATGCCGTCACGGCAGCGCCAACACACAGCAGCCCCGTCACCACACGCGGTGCCCCAGCGGTGCCATCCTCAGAGCTGGGTGCGTCCACCGCTACAGCCACTGTGCCCCCCTCCCTCGCTGAGGGTCTTCCTCTTTCACTGACCCTCTTCCAAGCATGATGTCCTTCTCCAGGGGTGACTCCTAGTAACATATCCAAAGCACACGAAGCGAGTTTCACCACCCCAGCTCCTAACGCACCTTCTGGCTGCACTATGAGCTTTTGGCTGTCCATGGTGTATTCAGTGGGCTTCACCGACACCATGAGTCAAAGACGGCAGCCTGGAAATGCCCACGGGCCGGTCTCCGCATCACAAGGGCCCCCGTGACGGCACCCAGCCGTGACACAACAGCCCTTTGATCTACAGTTTCCCTTCTGAGATCTTTCCCGGGCCGCCCGCAGACACCCACAGACGCTGACGGGAGCTGAGTGGGGGCTTGTTTGCAGCATGTGGGAGAAAGAAACTTGGCCACAGCCCATGTTCCCGGCAGGAGAAACTGCTTAGATCAGTGGTGGGTGGTGGCTAAGACACCTGGCCTAGTATGATTCTGGGGCGGTGTACCCCCAGGCGCCTGTGAGCATCCTTGTTGGGTGAAGGATAAAGCAAGTCGAGGACGGGGGTTACAGCAAGAGTCCACTTGGATGTAAAGAGGAAAGCCCACTCCTCACGTGCAGGCTGCCCAGGAGGTGTCCTCAGGGGAGAACCATCCACATTGGCCCCACATCTATCCAAGATAGACGTGTGGTGTGCTGGGCGTAGTGTTGGGGAGTGGGTCTCATGCACAGCCCCAAGGATGAAAAGCTTGGAGTCTTAAAAGCACCATCCAGATGGCTGAAAAGCCCAGCATCTTATATGCACTTCCCGTGGCTGAGAAGCCCGGGCCTCGGTGGCGGAAAAGCCCAGGGTCTTACCTGCACTGCCCTAGTGGCTGAAAAGCCTGGGGGTTTTACACGCTAGCAGCCCCCACCCCGTCCACAGCACCCACAGCTGGTAACAGGCCTCATGTGCCTCTTTCAGTCCAGATAAACGCACACACACTGATGTGCACACACGTGTACTTGCACTCACGGTCCATCAGAGATCTGTACTCACACAAGCACACGCAGGGACACCCGCAGGGCACACTCGTCTGTGGGCCTGGGTTTGTGAACCAGGCATAGGAGGCCTGATGAAGCAAGTCTCCACTGAAGCTCAGATGTTCCCGCTTAATCCGTCAGCCCCCTGGGGTTCCTCGGGCTCTGCCCCTGCTTGGTCATCCTGGGGTCTTCCTCCTCTCGCAGCCCCCTCTTCCCCCGCCTGGTTCCCTGGGGCGGTGGGAGATCTCCCCGTGTACCACACAGCCCACCATGCCTGCATCCCCCCTTGTATGTGGTCGTTGTCCACGTGCGCGTCAGACGGCCTTCACGGTGCTCTGTCACCTCCTCTAACTGCTGGTCACTATACACACCCACCCACCCCTCCCCTGCCCCCCACCTCTGCCCCACACAGCTGGTGTCACTCCGAGGATCCTGCCTCCTGGCCAGCCTGCCCTTTGGGGGTCAGCCAGGAGACGCTGTGTTCTGTCAGGCTATCCTGCACTAGGGCCAGTGGGCTCTGCTCACTGATTGAGCGCCCACTGTGGACCTGGCTCTGCCCAGGCACCAGGGTACAGGGGAGCCCACAGACGGGCCCCTTTCAGACTTCATTGGCTTGTGAAGTGACCTGGGGAGCGCAGCCAGTACCCAGAAAACGCAGAGGAATTATTTCCAAGATGGGATTGCAGGAAGGGCCAAGAGAGAAGGAAGCAGGCAGGTGGATATCAAGACAGATGTGTCAAGATGTGTGGCGTCAGCATAGATGTGTGGTACACTGGCTGTAGTGTTGGGGAGAGGGCCCCAGAGGGGCTGCCTGGGGGCTGTATTTCTGCAGAGCTGCGGTGAATGGTTCAGAGGGAGTGGAGTGGTACCCAGAGAGATGGGGTGGCTGGTGATGGGAGCTGAGGATGAGGGGACTAGCCCAGGATGCTGGGAAGGAGAGAGAGGAGAGGAAGACTGGGGTCTAACGCTCAAGGTCAGCCATGTGGTTGACCACAACCCCAGGGTGCTGACCCACCTCCCTCTCCCCGTTTTTTTTTGCCCCAGGATTTGGAAGGAGCGCCACCATCGAAAAAGCTGAAACTGGAGGGGCCGCAGCCCGAGGAGCTGTAGGCGGCCGCCCCGCCCGCAGGCCCGCCCGCCCTTGCCCCACAGCGCCGCCTGCCGGGCGCCCCCCTGGAACTGCAGCCTCCCGCGTGTCCACGGCGCAGCCGGGCCTCGGCGAAGCTGCCCTTTGCACAGGAGCCGCCCGCTCAGGAGTGTCCGTCTGTCTGCACACTGTCTCCGAAGCCAAGATTCCATTTGTGTTGCTGCTGTATCCTCCCCGCTCCCCTCCCCGCCCCCTTCTCGATGTGTAAGGATATAAGCTAGCGGAGGTGGTCCCCCACTGCCCGTCCAGGCGCGTCACGTCCCTGCCACTTCTGTCGCTTTCTTTTTTTGTGCCTTGTGCTCGTCAGGTGACCTCTGGCCCGGATCCCTGGTTCTTTCCACATCGCCCACTCTGCAAAGTGGCCTCACCTCCCTGCCCCACGGACTTCCAGCGGGAGCGCAGCAGGCAGGGAGATGGTGGGGAAACTGAGGCTGGTGGCCTGCGCATTGCTGCAGGCGGGAGCTGGGGGGGTGGTCTTGGGTGAGCCCAAGGTGGCCAGCCAGCCATGGTCTCCAAAGCCAGAGAGGTCACGGTTTTCAGGGCGAGGTCCCCAGGGCTGGCAGCCTGGGTCCACGAGGTGCTTTCACTTGCTGGGGACAGTTGAGGCTGGGGTGTTGGCCACCTCTCTGGCCAGAGAGCCCCTCGATGTCTCTGGCGTTTGCATGTCACACCCCCATCCCCCAGCACTTCTTCCTCGCAGACCTCTAGCGGTGAAGCAGCTTTGATGACTGGACATGGACAGAGGGCAGGACTAGCTGGTGCTGACCTCACCTCTGCGATGTTGTTTGGGTTTCCAATCCAAAGTCGCTCACTGGCCTCTGCCGCCCCTTCGCTGCCCTCCTCTCCCCGCCTGGATGGCCGACAACTCTGAGCGAACACAGGGCTGCTTCTAGAATGTGCTGTGGGGCCCCCAGCGGGGAGCAGGCCTCAGTGGACGGGCCTCCAAGGCCTCAGACAAGGCACCCAGCGATCGGAAAGATTTGCACTCTCTCCAGAAAGGAGTGACAGACACCCCACGCCCACCCCTCGTCCCCACTCTCCTGGGGACTGCCCCATCATGGTTCTGAGGCCTGGTTTACTCTTCCTTAAATCCATGGACTCCTCGGACCTTAAACCTCTTCCCGAACGTTCTTTACTGCACTGGAGTTCTGACTCCCTTTGAATTACGTGTTCTCGGGGGTGGGGGGCTGCGGGTTTTGTTGGGGTTTTCTTTGTTTTTATTTTGTTTTGTTTTGTTTTTTTCCCTCTAATCGGTGCATTTTTCAGGTACCACCTTTGTCGTGTGGCTCTTTGGCCCGACCACCACAGGAAGTGTCTGCCAGAATCCGTTTTCTAAGAGTTTCTGAGGGCGAGGCTCTTGTTACTACTATTATTGTTACTCATTTCTTTTTTTTAAGGGAGCCAATCTATTTCCTGCACTTCAAGAAGAATCAAAATGTTGCTGAATTTCAAATACCTCATGCAAAATATCTCCTGAAATATGAGAAGAAAAAGGAAAAAACAAACAAAAACAAACCTTAGGAACTCTGAATGTTGAAAGTTTGCCATGCCGAAAGATGTCTGTCTTAAAAAAAGGAAAAGAACCCCTCCTGCTTCTGGAGCCTTCTCCCGCAGACGGTCGGCTCTCTGGAGAACTGGTCTGCGCAGAGACGCAGAAACAACCAGAAGCGTCCGCTCCTGCCGGGCGCCTCAAGGTGGCGTTACCTCTAAACCCTGTAGAGTTAGCGTTAACTTTTTTCTTTGTGACAAAACTCCATTTTTAATGAAAGAGGAGATGGAGATTCGATTCCTTTTCTTTGTGGGAAACCAGAGGGTTGCAAGCCGGGAGTGCTTAAGGAGACCCTCCGTCCCATGTGTCCACGGGGACGGAGCGTCGAGGGTCACCCGCGCCTCGGCCCGTGGTGGTGGCCTCAGGACAGGACAGGGGCATGGACACAGGTGAGGATGAAGAGCTGATGCAGGGCCGAGGCGGTCACACGTTTTTCTCTGAAGTGCCTGAAGGTAGGAATGGGCTGGTGGTCGGGCCCCGGCATGGCCATGCCAACAAGGGGGCCAGGTGGTGGCGGGTCACACGGGACAAGGTGGCCTCCTGGACCGAACTGGACTGCAGATCCAGAACCACACAGGCTTCCTCGTATCGCACCGTCTGCGCCAGGGCGATGTCCATGCTGCACCCCTTGCCCGCTGCCCCCCCCGCAGCGTCCATGCAGGGCCCACAGGGAACCTGTCCTCCTGTGGACACCAGGCCCCATGGCCGTAAAGGGCTCCCAGGGCTCCGCTCCCCGTAGGGGACACATTCCTCAAAGTGCTGGCGCTGACACCTACAGTCTGGAAGGCAGTTGACCGGTTCCTCGAGGGAGGTGACCCGTGACCCCCCCGTGGGATGATCTGGAATGTTCACCATCACTAAGGACCTGGTAGAGGTTAGAAAAGACCTTTCCTCACCCTCACTTGGGTTTTTTCCTCCCCTCTTGCAATTTTTTTTCTTTTTGGTGTGTTGTACAGCAGTATAATTTTTCACTTATTTATTCCATCAGTAGATATGGTTTGTACAATGTACAATGGTTCCATTTAAAAAAAAAATAAAATCATGAATAAGACTGGGTTTTGTGGCACTGAAATAGAAGGCAAAGTCTGAACGAGGGAGGCCACTCTTGCACCTGGCTGTGTGGGCTTTGAAGGAGCCCTGGTGGTGCAGTGGGTCGTGCGGTGGGCTGTTAATGGCATGGTTGTCAAGCCCACGAGCGCCGCCTGGGTAAAGGTGAGGCCGTTTGTGCCCATGGAGGTCTGCAGCCTCTGACCACATGGAGAACACACTCGAGTGGGAAGCGACGATGGTGGGTTGGGTTTCTTTGGTATCGTGTTCTAAGAGCCTTGGTGGTACAAGGCTTAGTCATTTGGCTGCCAATCACAAGGTCGGTGCTTTGAGCCACCTCACTGCTTCCATGAAGATCTATGCCTTTGCAGGCCCTTATGGGACAGTTCTGCTCTATGGTATAAGACCGCTGTGAGTCATGGTCGATTGGCACACAGCAGTGTGGTTCCTGAAAGAGCCAGGCGGTGCCATGGCCAAGTGCTCAGCGGCTAATTGAAGACCCGATAGTTGGAGCCCACCAAGTGCTTTGTGGGAGATGGAAGCGGGTGCTCCTATAAAGGTCCACAGCCCTAGACAGTCACAGAGCAGTTCTGCTGTGTCTAATCAGGTTACTATGGGTCTGATTCACTCAGTGGTCCATAGGGTTTGGGTCTTGAAGGATCCTGGTTGACACGGGAGTCGCTGAAAGGTTGGAGGTCCTGCTGCACCTGTTGCACCTTCAGAGAAAGAGGAATCAGTCTTGCTTGTGTTAGGACTTGGAGGCTCAGGACCCCTGTGGGGGCAGTTCTACGGGTCCCTGAGTCAGAGTCCGTTCGGCGGTGGCAGGTGGTTGTATGTGTGGTGTGTCTGTTGGAGGAAGTACCTGAAGCCACTTCTGTAACCATTGTCTTGAGGAGGCCGGGAGCTCCCAGTGAGAAGCAGACTGTGGCCTTTCACCTTCATGGTTATAATAGCTGTCATCAACACCAGCTGGGTCCAGGCGCCACTGAACACTCCCCTCTGAGAGTGGGGGTGTTGGCCGCCGTGGCAGGCAGTACCTGAATGTGTGAGACAGCTTGACAGTTCATGGAAAGACTGGCAGTCCAGACACAGCCGGAGGTGCCATGGAAGAAAGGCCTGCTACTTTTCTGAAAGCAGTGATAGAAATCCTGGAGTTCCTGCGGGGTGTGGCTCTGCCGTGCAGCACACGGGCGCACACACGTGGTTTGTTGCTTGGTGCCCATGTGAGAAAGTGAGGCCCGACCCTTGTCTAGGTCAAAGCCAGTCAGTGACATCTAAACAGTGACCCTGACCTTTCCTTCTTGGGCTCCTGGCTAGGGACGCTTGTCTGTGGCCTTCCTGGCCTGGGCAGGCTCTGGACAGTCCACTGGAGTTGATTGGCCACTGTGTCCTGACTGGTCTGGACTGCTGAGGGGTAGTCAGGACTTGGCCAGGCCCTGCACTCCCACATCCCCACCTCCCACCCGCTCTTGGCAGCTCAGTCTCCACCCTGTAGTTGAGTGTCTTTGGGGAGTCTTCCCCTCCTGCCCTCGATTCCCGCCCCAGCACGGCCTGACCGTGTTGACAGACCTGGAAGACAAATGTTCTCTCTTTGTTTGGTCTGAGTCTCTCCTCCCTGCCCTTTTCCTTTTTAACACGTTCCAATGTTTTTACCAGAATCGGTTGTTCAGCTAAATAAACTCCTGATGTGGAAAGTTCAGCTTGACAAAACACAGATCTTAGGGGCCTTGTTTGCTTAACAGGAAAACCACCTTTGCCGGCCTGCGTTTGCCTTCCCCGGGTGTTGGTCCCCTGGGTCCTCTGGTTAAATATCTGCCTTCCACACACCCTTCTTCTCATGGCCCCTCTTCCTGCCCCCCTCGTCGCCATCCCTGGTCATTCCGTTTCCCTTCACTGGCTCTCTCCTTCCCTGTCTTTGCTTCTTTGTCTCCGGCTCCCTTTGTTTCTCTTTGCATGAAGCAGGCTTCTCTGTCCCTTCATCCAGGAACTGGCACGTTGGCTGGCTGTTAAGTGCCTTGGAGTGAGTTCCAGCTCAGTGAGTCTAAAGAACAGAGTCAGGCCGCAGGGGGCTTCCTCTGCACCGAGAGGAGCTGGGGCGGGGGTAACAGGTTAAGGAGCTGAGCTGCTAACTGAAAGGTTGAATTTCTTGAGCCACCAGCCCCTCTGTGGCAGGAAGAGGAGGCAGTTTCCTCTCATTGAGCTTTGGTGTCGTGAGGTGCTGTTGAGAGGACTCCCCACTCTCAGTGGCGCTACATAGAATGAAATCCGCTGATGCTGCCGCACCCCCGTGGTCTCTGTGGTGTGGGAGTTCCTATGTCAGCCCATCTCACTGACAGGGTTCCTCTCCTGCAGTGACCCTCTGCTCTA